CACGCCAGATCTTGGAGAGGCAGGCCTGGAACTGCTCGTCGCAGTCGCTCTTGCTGTGGCCGCAGGTCTCGTAGCAGCGGTCATGCTGGTTGCAGCACCGCGTCAGCGAGGGGATGCCCACGTTCAGCTGCAGGAGGCCGGCGTCAGTGTCACCGCCACCAGGGAGCTGCCCCACAGTGAGCACCGGGCCAGCCCTACAGATCCCTCCAGCCCCGTTCTGCCTGCCACTGCTCCCTGCAACCCCGCCCACCCTGCACCTTGGCCACCACACGGCCCAGATGGCCACAGTTACCCCTCTTCTGCCGTCTCAGCCACTCTGAGGCCCGAGACGCACCAAGGGTTTACAGGAGAGGTGAGGCTGGGGTATTCGAGCATTTCTCCCAGGCCCAGTAAGTGCGACCTGGGCTATTTCAAAGTGTTCACGCAGCTCTCCTCCAGATAAATGCACTCCATGAAACACCATGGCGAACTTTGTTCCTACAACTCAAACATCGGCTTCTGTCCTTTTAATCCTTAAGTATTTATCCATTCTCCAAATAAGCTGCTACCTGGACCCACAACTTGACTGTCATTATTTTAAGTAACTTCGCATGTGCAAGCCGGAGCCCAGGACTCGCTCTCCTAAGTTTTTCCCATAATCCTTGGCTCAGGTCCGGTTTCCCCAGCCGACCACACAGCTGCCCCCACGTAGCCTCGCTTTAACTCAGAAAATGTGGTACAGTTGTACTTCCCCGAGACCAGTGTCACCTTTTATACCCCGACTTTTTAAAGCATGTTTGTGACATTAGGAAATAACATTTAGGTGGTATTAACATCTGTAATTTTGCTCTACTTGATATTTTCAGGAATAATTAAATACATTTTGCCACAAAATAATGTAGTAAACCTGGTGACCAATCCCACAGCGAGGCTACGCGTGGACCCAGAACACACCTACTCCTGTGTCGCCAGAAGTAGCACGCGCCACCAGGGACCACGCCTCACAGCTAAACAACACTTACATGAACACCAAACAGCGGAGAGCCACAGCCGCTCGGAGGGGAGGGCTTAAAGCCATAACGTGGAAGAGGCTTCGAGCCTGCAAAACATAAAGGGTATCCTCATTAACTTCCAACCACAAGTGACACGGAAGGGGCCCCCCAGGTGGGCTGGACTAGCCTCCAAGGGGAACGCTGATTTGGGGTGCTGATGGAGTGCCTGCATTTTTATTCTGAAGAACAGTAAGAATGCTAATCCAGGGGCCAGCAGGGGGCCTGGTGATTAAGGTGCTCTCACCTGGCCGACCACAGTTCAAGTCCTGGATCTGGCTACTTGAAAATCCCTTTCCCTCCAGTCTCCTCCTGGGATCCTGGACATTCACGCACACGTGTCCGGTGTGAGTTTGAAGCCACTGGGTCTGGGACTCCAATGGCCATCGGCCACGTGGGAGTCCAGCAATGTAACCGCTACGCCACCTGCTGTTCCCAACTACTTAACTCCTAAAGTTCTTTTCCCACCGCAGGGAGGATGGCCAAAAGTAACAAAATCCCCACGAGTGGAGAACGGAGAAGGGCTGCCGTAGGCCCATACGGCACAGGAGTTTCTCTCCCCTGACAAGCACGTACCCTCTCCAGTAATCAAATGAGTACAATAAAACCACGTCTCCGTAGGAATAGTGTCGATCAGACCTCAGAGATACTTTAAGTGTAAACAGACTAGAACCCTGAGCTCGTGGATAAAACCCCTCCATCCACGTCTCTGATCCCCCTAGTCGGCAGCTGTCCTCTGGCCAGGCCCGAAGCTCGAGTCATCGTGTCTGGCCTCTCCTCGGGTCCTCTGCACCTGCTGCCCCTCAGCCCCTCCCCACACTGGCACAGCGTCACCTTAGCGTCCAGCTTTCTCCTGCTGCTCTCCCGGCCAGCCTGCCTGGGCCTCCCTGGGCCTCCAACTATTTAGAGAACGACTGTCTCACTCCCCCTCCCCATGTGCCCAAGCACTGTCACAAGAGAGTCGTCGCAGTTGCTTGCAGACTGCTCGGCTCACTGACGGGACTCTCCCACCGGACAGGCTCTGCGGACAGGGCGTGGCCTGCTCACTGCAGAATGTGACAAACAACTGCACCTGGCCCGGGCTGGACTCCAAGACCTGCATGGTGACAGCGATGACTCAGTGTGCTGCACACCGGCCCAGAGCAGCCATTGAGACCTGGACTGACTCCCTGGTCCTCCTGCGGGCACTCAGAGGGCAGAGAGGTCAGGCGGTACGTGGAGGATCACCAGCAGCTCAGGCATCAGCTTTCCACAGCCGGGGTCCCCAGAACACCGCCAGAGCCCAGGTCCCGGTGCACCGTCAGAGCCCGGTCCCGAGTGCACCGTCAGAGCTGGGTCCCGGTCCCCAGTGCACCGTCAGAGCCGGGTCCCGGTGCACCGTCAGCAGCCACCGTCAGAGCCCGGTCCCGGTCCCCAGTGCACCGACAGAGCCGGGTCCCGGTGCACCGTCAGAGCCCGGTCCCGGTCCCCAGTGCACCATCAGAGCCGGGTCCCCATATTATGACCAGCTGCAGCTTTAACCAGACCCAGACTGAGACGGCTTTTACTGGAAGGGTCATTTCCCAAGTGCTGTCTTAACACTGAATTTCCAAGCAGAAGCCCAAGAACTTTCTCTGAACTGTTCAAGTATTTTCCAATACTTAAGCATTCAAAAGTCACCTGCTTCGAAAGCACCACCTCTGCCTGAAGGCCGAGCACACGCACAGCGCCACCAAACAGGCTGTCCATCACCGAGTCAGCGCGGACTCCGGACAGCACGTATTCACTAAAGGGGTCACCCACACCCAAGGGCAGAAAGTCGCAGGTCCGGGGACCGTTTCCAGGTTACGGGAACGCTGCGACGCGCACACCGGCCTGGACAAAGGTCGGGTCTGGGTCCTGCGAGCCTGCAGGGGAACCACGCCGCATCCGATCTCCAGAAGCTCGGACGGTACAACGTGGAACCCTCGGTGCACAGCGCAGCCTGCCCGCTTCTCCTCCAGGCCAGGACTTGCCCTGACCTGAGGTCCCGGAGCCGCGGGTGCCCTCACCGTCGCTGCACTTGTACCGGCAGAGGCCGTCCTCGCCGCCCAGCAGGTCCAGGGCGGCGTTCAGGTACGTGTCTATGCGGTGCACGCCGTTGCGGATGGTCTTCAGGGTCGCCCTCCAGTCGGTGGTCTGCTCCTGCTCCTGGCCCATGACGGCGGCGGCCACGACGAGCAGGAGGGCCAGCGCGGGCCGCGGGAGCAGGGCCATCGCAGCGCCCGGCCGCCCGGTCCC